GTCTCAGTGCCACAAGCCACCTCTCATGCTCAGTCACCCCATGTGTTGGACAGTGTGGATCTAGAACCTTCTCATCATTGCACACAGTTCTAGAGGGATGTTGCCCAACACGGGAGCTACCAGCCACATGTGGCTATTCACATGTAAATTCTGTTGGCCTCTAACACCCAGTGTGAGCCAAGATGGCTTTCTTCTCTTAAAGGGGAGGGTCCAGGGGTGAGGTAGGCTGTGCCAAGTCCATGAACCAACAGATACAACTGACAAGGGAGTGAGAACTTGCACCCAGGACACTAGCCTCGGGTGTCCCTACATGTGCTGAGGTATGGAGAAGCTATATGCATAGGGGACTTGTTTTCGCTGCAAAAATAAATAAATAAATAAATGCTTCCCAGCTCCCTGGCCAGGAACGTGGTTATGAGTTTGAGTTATTCCAACTCTCAGTGGCTTAAACAAAGAAGGAGGGCTTATTGGTGTTCATAACCGAGAGGGCAGGATGGGCTGCCTTCAGACAGGACTGCATCCAGGGCCTCAAACAGCAAGCTCCAGAATCTACCTCTGCCCCCCTCTTGGCTCTCCCTGAGGCCCCAGGAGCTCTGGCTTTCCTCTTATGAGCTTCCTAAGCACCCAGCAGGGAGTAAGCACAACCCTCAGAAGTTTCTGGAAAGTCCTGGGACAGCACATCCCGAGGCCACCAGGCATGACAGCACCACCCCCTGGTTTGCGACTCCACTCCATTTACTGTTCCATCTTTCAAAACCCGAGAGAGCTCTAGCCAGGCTAGATTTGGGCCTAAGTGCTGGGCTTGACCCTCCTGTGGCCAGTCATCCAGCTACCTCCTCATTCTCCACCCCTTGCCCAGCTCCTGCGCATCCTGAGCAGTTTTTTAAAAATATATTTTTATTGATTTCAGAGAGGAAGGGAGAGGGAGGGAGAAATAGAAACATCAATGATGAGAGGGAATCATTGATGGGCTGCTTCTTGCACGCCCCCACTGGGATCAAGCCTGAAACCCGGGCATGTGCCCTTGACCGGGCCCACACTCTATCCACCGAGCCAAACTGGCCAGGGCTCTCCTTGATTTTTAGATTCACTTGTTGATAAATATGTATTTGTTATCATTTTGTAGTTCATAATTTTTATCTTTACCTATTTCCTCTTCTGCCTCCAGCCCCTAAAACCCACAGGGGCTGCCCTTTCTCTTTGTGATCTCCACAGCCTCACCTCCCTGCCACCTCCACCCCTTCCTGCAGTCTGGCTGTGGCCTGACCTCACCTAGATCACCTGAGGCCACTGCAGCCATGTCCAACTTCACCACTGAACTGTGGGCTGGGCCAGGTTAGGCAACGCTTGCCACCTGTATCGGTCTCCCGTGACTGCCAGAGCAAATTACCACGAAGTGGGCATCTTAAAACAATTGGCACTTTTTCTCTCAAGGTACCGGAGGCCAGAAGCCCCCGAGACGTGGCGGGGCGGTGCTCCCTCCCCAGGCTCCAGGGGAGGGTCCTTCCTGCCTCTTCTGGCTTGGGGGGCCCCAGGTGTCCCTGGGCTTGTGGCTACATCACCCTGATCTCTGCCTCTGTTGTCTTGTGGGTTTTCTTCTTGTGTGTCTCTGCATCTTTGTTTCTTGTGTGTGTCTTCTCTCTCTAAATTTCCCCTTATAAGGATGCTAGTTATTGGACTGGAACCCATCCTAATGACCTCATTGTTAAGTCAACATGCCGACCACCACAGCAGGAACTTCCTCAGCTGAATACCGTGAGGACCCCCGCGGCGGGAACTTCCTCAGCTCATCCCCACCTCCCCCCCCCCCAAAATCAATAAAATATATTTTTTAAAAAAAGAAAAAAATATATTTTTATTGATTTCAGAGAGGAAGGGAGAGGGAGGGAGAAATAGAAACATCAATGATGAGAGGGAATCATTGATGGGCTGCTTCTTGCACGCCCCCACTGGGATCAAGCCTGAAACCCGGGCATGTGCCCTTGACCGGGCCCACACTCTATCCACCGAGCCAAACTGGCCAGGGCTCCTGAGCAGTTTTGACGTGCCTCTTCTCTTTCCAAATTACAGCTGATTCACCCAGGGCTGTCAAGAGGCAAACCTTACCTAAATGCACACCTCAGCTCCTTGCAGACCCCAGGCCCTCTCCCGCCCCCGCCA